AGGGACACAGTTTGAACGAACTTGCCTTCCGGTCTCAACCTGGATTGATCGGATCCTGGGTCGGATTTGCTTTCAACTGCCTGGTTCTGGTAGCCCAGTTCTGGGTCGGATTCGCACCTACCGGATATGCGAGCATGTCTGCCTCGGCCTTGGTTGAAAACTTCTTCTCGGCCTACCTCGCCGCGCCTGTCGTGCTGGTGTTCTACATCCCTTACAAACTGTGGTACAAGACTCCCTTTATCCGCGCCAAAGACATGGACCTTCAAACCGGTCGCCGTGACTTGGATATTCAATATCTCATTGAGCAGGAGCAGGCCGAACAGGCGCAGTGGCCAGCTTGGAAGAAGGTTTACAAGTTTTTCTGTTAGGTTGCAGTGTTGCCAGTCAGACATTGGACTTACGCGTGCGCCTTAATATGATAAAATGATAATACCTTTTGAGCCTGAAACTTGTGTACAATAACGATAATGTTCCTTCCCCTCACATCAGACCAGAGCATCTGGTGCGTCTTGGTGGTAAACCATCATCATGGTCAAATACAACTCGACTCGAATAAACATCCTGCGCAATGTACTGTAGTACATGGACATATGTATGCATGTCTATCAAGCTGTAGAAGCGACCTGCTTTCATGTTCAAGATTGTCAATTTGAAATCCCAAGATTGAGAGAGGTGTTCTGTCCTGTGCTGTGGTCTTGGCGGCAGGGGAAATGGTGTCTTTTGGATCCCTCCGTCAGTAGCGAATGAACACACCGAATGTTAGTGGAGGACTCGGGAGGGTTGGATGCCAACCTCACTCGGGCAATGATCAGACAGCAAACTATACCTAATTATACCATGGGGGGCCATGTGAGATTGTTGGGAAATCAATCTAAGACAACGGTAACAATCAACCGTGACGAGGAGACCAAAAATAGTAGCCACTTTTCCAACAACAGCAGAACAACATTATTACTTCCAGAACTACTAACCAACTTACTTCTAGCCAGCAAAGCAACACGTGAGGGTGAGCGAGGCTGAGGAGACTGGGAGAAAAAAAAGAGAAGGCGGGCGGCAATGGTCTAGTGCGGACTGTACTCCATAGTAACCAGGAGTGAGTTACGTAGACTTAGTTAGCTAGTTAGTTAGTAGTTATTAGTTAGTAGTTACAGGGCTAACAGACTGACTTACCAGCCCTGCCCAGTCACTTTTCTTTTCATAGGGCCTTTTTTTTTTTTTTTAGAAAAAAAACGTGGTTTCAGGTTGGTACGAACTCCGTATTCTTGCACTAATTAGTAGTAGTGTCGAAGACTTACATGTAAATTACTGTACATACACCGTCACCCTCCAAAATGACGGATGGAGAGCACAAGGCCCCGACCGAACCTCTTCTTGTCTCTCTAACTAAACCTCTGGAATCTCGAAATATTCACCCCATCATCATCATCATCATCATCATCAACATCATCATTGTTTCCTCCTCCCAATTCTTGTTCTCTTTCCTTCACCTCTCCTTCCCCAGTTAAAACAATCACCTCTCTTCTAGAGCATATCACCTTTTCTTTTTCTTCTCCATCTCTTCTCTCTGCATTATTATCTACTGCATTACTGCTTTCCATTGGCGCTGCGTTCATCCCACCTTCCCTCCCCCCCCCGAATTCTAGGCTGTCGTCTTCTGTAGCCGCTCTCGCATACTTGCTTCCCCCCTCCTCCCCTCCCCCCGGGCCTATGTCTCTTCGCAGCTCCTCCGTGCCACCTTAGGGATCGTTGAAACCTGCAGCTATACTGGTCGCGCTCGACCCGGTCATTTTCTTACTTCTCTCTTCACTTTCTCCACGGTCCTTGTGTGCAGTTGCCGTTGCGCCTCTAGTCTGTTTGACCCGGTCGCCTTCCGCTGGCGACGACGACCGATCAACTCTACCTTGGGAGACTTGCCGACTCCAAACAAAAGCACCTCTGCGGATCATTACAGCACCCTCGGCGGAATCAGAAAGTCCAATTCATAGCTCGTCTGTCGCCGTTTTTTGCTTCACCATGCCTGGCTTCGCAGATTCGTTTTGGACCCCAGATTACGCCACAGGTCTGGGGGTACTTTATGGCAAACTTCAGCAGGGCGCGGTGGAAAACAAACAAATTCTGACTATTGCCTCGATGCGCGCGGACGCGGAGGACATGTATGGCTCCAAACTTGGTGACATCGCGCCGGCCGTCGACCGGGTGACACCGACAGGGTTTGCGAAGGACGATGGGGCGAGCGTGAGGAAGGTAAGCGGATCGGAGAGTTCAGGCTTGGTCTTTTTATGTCGTATGCGAGTACTAATGCGGGGCTGCCATCTTCTCTGCAGGCTTATGAAGGTGTCCGCACGGAAATGGTCGAGGCGTCCAAGAACCATCAGAAAATCGCGTCCAACATCCGGGAATTGGTCGTGTCGCCGTTTCGCCGCTGGTGTGATCAACATGAGGCGCGGATACAGAACTCCCACGATGATTTGCAAGCCCGCATCAAGGAACATACGAAGCAGGTTGAATTGGTCAAGAAACTTCGGAGCCACTACTTCAACAAGTGCCGCGTCGTGGAGGATCTGGAGGAGGAGAACAAGCTTGCGTTCCAAGGCCCCGAGACCAGTCCCAAAATCAAGCCCACTCCCAAGATCGTCTTGCCGGAAGAAGAAGGGGAGGAAGAAGAGCCGGTCGAAATCGGCGATCGCATTTATCCTCCCGAGGACCTGAAGAAGCTGTTGATACACATGCTGGAAACGATCAAAGTGGGCGATGTCAAAGTGCCCATCATTGGAACCTACCAGAACACATCGACGGGCGCCGACATCGTGGACTATATTCAGAAGTATTTGAACGGAACCAGCATCGGCTATTGTGAAAGAATCGGCCAGGACCTTGTCGACAACGGCTTTCTTAGGCTCGTGGGAAACATGGGCAGCACGTTTGCCAACAGTTCTAAGATGCGCTACCAGTGGCGCCCAAAAGTCTTTCAACTTACCGGCATTCCCGACAAGAAAAAGCCTCTGATGCGGGTCACTTCGATCGCCTCCAGCGAAGATGGCAGTGATTCCCCCCTGTCTTCTGTGTCCGAGATTCTCGCCGGGTGGAACCCTCTGAATAACCCATACCCGAACGAGACACCAGCGGAAAAGTTGCGCAGGGAGGCCCGCGAGGCTGATGAACGGTACAAGGCTGCTGTGCGGCGACTTGACCTGATCAGATGCAAGCTCGAGGAGGAAATTGTCGAGAATCTACGCTTCATGGAGCAGTGCGAACTGGACCGTCTCAAGGCTATCAAAGCTGTGATCCTGGATTTCTCTGGCGCGATCAGCAATGTGATTCCTAACCTGCAGAGCACGGTGGATCACATGATGCTGTACCAGGAGACTATCCAGCCCCTGGGAGATCTTAGATACCTGCTGGAGAACTACCGGACTGGCGGTTTCGTCCCCCGCGTACAGGCTTACGAGAACTACTACGGCTCCGTGGAAGGTATGTAGAAGACCCGTTATCCTTATCAGCGTCTGGGCAGCTGAAATCTAATCTGCATCTAGATCAGAACTTTGGTGTTGATCTCGAGGCTAGAGCAAGAGCCGATCGCAAGCGGGTTCCGATTATTGTAACGACTATCCTCACTTATCTTGACAACCGTAAGAGTGCTACAGTATTGAGGTCGTTTTCTTGAAACTGACTGACCATACAATATAGGCTATCCTGAATTGGAGGGCAACGAGGCACGACGCGCGATATGGCTTTATGATGTACCTTTAGCGGCAACGCACCATCTGCGGAATGCATTGAACAACAGCAGAGCGGACTACAACGAAGTGCTCGAGAAATACGAGATCCCTATCATTGCCAGCGTCTTGAAGTTATATCTCCTTGAATTGCCAGGTTCGTATTCCTCGCGTCTCACCCTCTCATTCGCATTAACATGAATCAGATTCGCTCGTTTCTTCTCAAGTTTATGAAATTGTTAAGACAATTTATTCCACCACCGCCCATGAGACCACAGAGGAAGGCCGCATCAAGGTCCTTCAAAGCACACTCGGCCAACTCCGTCTCAACAACATCGCCACACTTGACGCCATTATGACCCACTTCACGCGTTTGATAGACCTGACGTCTGCCGACGAAGCTTATGTATCTTCTCTTGCCCAAGCGCTCTCCCCCTGCGTTCTCCGCCCCCGCACGGAGAGTAGTCTTACGATGAACGAGCGCCATAGCTATCGCCTAATTCGTGACTTGTTCGCTCACAAAGATGCCATTTTCGGCGAGCTCAAGCGCCAATCGAGTGCTCTCGGGATCAGTGGCACCAGCAATCGTCCCCGTGCCATTAGCACCGATGAGAGCAATCGACGCGCGGCCATGGAAGCGCGGAACCGCGCCATTGTCGACCGCAGTCGCGCCCACAGCCCCAACCCCCCACGGAAGCACCGTCGGGATCGTTCTAGCGGTGCTTCCGAGGCCGGGCGTTTCCCCGTCAACGTCACGAGCCCTACCGAGCGGAGAACCAACCTCCGTAATAGCCTCGACGTTCCCACCAATGTGGAATCCCCTACGGCTGCAGAGAAATTGAGCAGCGTGAACATCGACAACTCAGAGGCCTCTGAGCCCAACGGTGCTGCGGATGATTCTCCCGCTGTCAGTGCCAGCTCCGGATCTGGAACTTCGAGTCCGCCTCCAGTCGCAGGATCAGATGGATCCATGAGTCCCGTGACCGCTGCCACGCCCACCCAGGAATCCGAAAAGCGCACTTCGATTCCCCTCTCCAGTGTCATGTTCAACCGCAAACCCGGCCTTGGCAACCGGTCCAGCTTTCCCATCGCAGTGAACAGCGAGAGTGGATCTGACAGCAAGCGTAGCAGCCTGGCAACCATCGAGAACGAGCCCAAAGGTGTTACATTGGAGGACAAGCCAATGGACGATGACTAAATGCGCCCCATGTGATGTGTGGATGCACTCACTAACTGACTGATTGACTCATATGACCTGAACGTCTTGAATGTTGTCGCATGTCTTGCTTGAGGATCTCTCATCGCGACCATGAGTTGGGAAAGGACTAGCAGCCACCAACGACTATACTCTATTAGTCTGCCGGGAACAGATCGTTATGGTTGCTCCACGCCCCTTCTGAGAAACAAGGAGGATGGTCAAGCAACATGAAGCGAGAGGAGTTTACGCATGATGTGTGTCTGCTGACCTCAGTCCCCTTAGCCTCTTTCTCGGATCTGAGAGCCGGTCTTATCAGCCGAGAAAGGAAGCTCAGGGGTCAAGTAGTTAGCAGTCTTTCTTCGCCGCTTTTCCTTTTCTCTGTGTTTTTACTGTTTGCTTCGTTCATCCTCGATTGTATCCCGCTCGGGTCGAACATCCCACTCCCGCCCCTCTGCCTGAGGTTTCTTTTCAAACATGCTTCTGCTTCTTTTCCTCCTCTGACATACCCATCTTCGTATGTTTGTTCTATCTTTGGTGTATACATAGTGCCCCCATTCCATCTATCTATCTATTTTTGTTTCTTTCCTTCTATCTATTCATCAATCTATCTCTGTCTGCTGTTTTTCATGATTCTATCATGTGCTCGCGAAATATCCACTTCCTTGCATTGTCTCGGATCTCTCCTCGAACAGTCCCCGCGTGTGATATGCACCGTTTAGTATGCAGATAGAATCCGAATATAGAATAATCAGTCAAAGGAGGATTGCAAGATGAATTTTGATTATATTTTTCTCTGAATTGTAGTGCCGAGTAAACTAAGTATACAATGCTATATGAGGTATGTTCCGTGCCGTGCCGTGTGTGCTGTGCTAATCCTAGGATATAAGTGATGAAATGCTGTACGGGGTCGAATGCGCCGATAACCAAGACATAAAAAGTCGGTGCAATGCAAAATGCAATGAAGGCCAGGTGGCCAAACGCTCAGAAATGCAGAATGTTGATGAAGTGTTAGGCTTGACCCAAAAGCAGCCTGCGGAGGATGCCTTCCCCGGGTCCAGCGATTTGGCTCTCGATCTCCCTCTGAGAGACGAAGCATACAAGGCATTGCTCGTCCAGAGCTCGAGTAGGAGTCATGGGGCCAGCTCCAAGCTTAGAGGGGGAACGTCGAATGTCGGTTCCGCCAGCGACGGTGCCACCTCGACCGCGGCCTTGGTATTCACCCACGAGACCCATGGTTTCCAGATTGCTAAGCACATCCTTAAACTCCGTCGATGTGAGAGGGTGCAGAAGATTGTCTTTCCGACACAGGGCGCAATACGCGTCATAGACCTGCTTGACCGTGGGGGCCGAATTTATTTTCTTGGATGGAGTACCTGGAATTTCTGTCTCGCGACGGCGCCGATCAAGAGCGATCAATACGCAGATCGCGGCTTTCTGTTGAAGATTGATGCCCTGAAGTCTTTGCACAGTGCCCTGACCGAAAGCAGAGGAAGTGATGCGCGCCACATGCGCAATGCTCGCTCGTGGTGCGGTGAGGGGGGTGTAGGCCTTCATAGACTTCTGGGAAGGTGGTGAGCATTTGCTGATGGATGAGAGGTTATTGTTTTCAACGAGAATGGCTTGATTTTGAGTTCCAGAAGCGGCTTCTTGCTTCTCGAGCTTTTGTAGGGTCTCTTGTTCCACAAGATCGATGGCGCGCTTGATCAACTCGAATGCCTTGCGTAGGTCGCCAGTCTGCGAGGCGACCTTCTTCGAGCACAGCTGGATCGCTGCGGGCTGGACAAATGGGATGAAGTTTGGATCTGCACTGTGACCCTCCGGGAGCAGGGAACGAAGTCGACCAGTAATGACGCCGGCAATCTGAGCCGCATTATAAGGCAAAAATGGAAGCAGACGTGGCTTTAGATTCTTGGCCTTCAGCTGAGGCAACGATCTGTCGGTCAAATCAAGCGCGTTTGCAATTCCAACAAGCATAAGCTTCGACTCGCTCTGTAGAGACCACTCGAATAAGGACTGCAGAATGCCAGCGTCCGCAGTAAGAAGATGGTCAATCTCGTCCAGGGTCACCAAATACAAATCGTTCTGTTTCCTGTTCGATGTGAACATCATTCGTAGCCGGTCGGCCTCGCTCTTTTTGAACACCTCAGAGTCATCGCAAAGATCCTCGATAAGCTTGCTGTAGACATCACGGGCGGCTCGCATGCTCGCACAGTTAATGTGTGTAACCTTGGCTGATTGAAGGTCCATCTCATTACACACTTCCTGAACCAATGCGCTTTTTCCGGTACCAGGAGGACCGCTCACATACAAGCAGCCACCTGTGCGAGTGTTCAGGCCCTCCTGTATGAAGTCGCGAAGCTTTCCCCGTTCAGCTTCCCTGCCAACGATCCGTGTAGATGATGCGCCTCGTGCAAACAATTGCCTTGCTTGTGTATAAACAGTCTGCGCGGTGGTGGCATTTGTGGGGGTGGTTGCATGGCGAGGAGTACGTGGCGTCGACGGTCTTGCGCCAACCTGAACGCGGTGTTTTGGTGTGACCGGCGGGGAGTCTAGTGCATCCCGAAATCTCGACTTCGAAGGAGTCTTGAACTCAACTGGTGTTGAATTTTCGTCTGTAATCCGTCAGCAGTGGCCTTACACATTGCTGCTCCGGTTGTCTAACCATTGATAGGATCAGTAGTAGCATTGCGCTTGACTGGTGAAAGCTTGACTGGTGAAACAACCTTGTTTTTCCTCAAGCCGCGGTCCGAGGTATGGTCCGTAGAAGATTCTAAATTCTGGGGGCTTCGGTTCTCTTGCGAGCTGGCATTGCTATTGTCGATTGTCCTCGATCGAAGTTGTCGTGTTTGTAACGCAGTGGACTCGGGTTCTTCACGGATTCGGGGCGGCTGAGCTCGGCGCTTGCTTCCACTGCGAAGTAGCAACTGAGGAGCTATAGAAAGAAGTTGATTAGTATCGGAAGATGATAGTGAGCTCCGCTGAGGAAAGGGAGTCAACGTACCTTCTGTCTCAATTGCACCACGTTGGCGCTTGCCCAGGAGCGAGACAGCCATTGTTACAATATAATGAACCCTCACACCAAGGAGGCAAGAGCGTTGGGCGAGTTAGTAAAGACAACTTAGTGTAGAAAGAACCAGTCCGGGATTCTCTATAGGAGGGCAAGTGCCGATTGGATTGGATAGGGATGGGGGTAACTAATGGGTGGATATTGAAGTAGGTGGAATGAGTGAGTGAGTGAGAGTGGACTTGGAGCTATTTTTCCCAAGGAGGCATAATTGAGCCTCGCCCGATTTTAGGGCCGCGGCGCTATCCACGACGCGCTGCCTGGGCGCGTCACGCGTCGGCTGCAGGCCCTGCAAGGCTGCGACAATCAATTAGGGCTGGCGATAAGCTCTAGTACCGCAGTTCTGGCTTGCTGTATTATACTATGTATAACTCGGAGTTATGCTGTGACCGAACGGTGATTATGTAAGTGTGCGGGCGCTTAAGTTACAGCAACTTAACCAACGAACAGAAGTGCGTCACTGATCCTGCCTACCCAAATTGTCGGAGCGGACACTGTCTTCTACATAACTAGGTACAGTACTTCCTTATACTCTTCCCTTCACTCCTCTCTCTATATTATTAGCACACTGGATTGAAACTTGAATAAATCTATGTATCTCCAATGTCCACCTGATCAAGCTGAATCTATTCCACCGAGCGTTTCTTGTTGCCCTGCTGTTCTGTAGTCTGTCATCACCGATCACCGCCTTAATACCGTCATTGGAGTTTGCAGCTGTTTGCATCAGATTGCCCTCCTCACTCATCAACCTTGCACCTTGCAGTTGAGTCCTCCTGCAAGTATTTCCCGTCTCGCATCGGCCTGATACCCCACTATTTATCCTGTTTATATCTGCTCCCGCTTCAAAACATAACCCAGCGTGCTTTGCCCGTCATGGACGGCGATGTGGTGGCCCAGTTCACCGAAATTACCGGTTCCAAGCCGGAGCTGGCAATCCAGTACTTGCAGCTTGCCGATTTCAACATCGAGCAGGCCATGCAACTTTACTTTGAGAATGGTGGAGCACCGCTAACCGACGAGCCTGCGCCATCAACTTCCGCCCCTCAGCAAGCCTCCCGCGCCAGAGGATATGAAGATGATTCGGGCGTTGTACACATCGACTCAGACGACGACGACACCCCGGTGGACGAATCGCGGCCTTCCGCCCGCGACGCTCACTTCGAAGACGATGCAGCCATGGCCCGTCGGCTCCAGGAGGAGATGTACAGAGGGGCGGGTGACGAAGAAGAGGTGCGCGCACCGATGGCTCGCACCACAGAAACTTTGGTGGGCCCAGAAGCGGACTTTGACGACGGCGACATGCATGCCAGCATTTTGGGCCAACTGCGCGCTCGTCAGCAGCGACACAGTCAGTAAACCACCATGTGATACCATTTATCTTCCCGTCTGTCAGTCGCTAACTCATTGTTTCTCATTCTCAAGACCGTCCCGGTATCTTCAATCAAAGAGATACAGCGTCGATATGGCACGGAGAAGATGAGGCGTCACAACGTGAGCAACTGGCAGCAGCGACTGGAGGAGCCTCCGAAGCCTCAAGTAAACAGAATATGCTGGCTGAGATGTATCGCCCGCCGTTCGAGATTATGTCTCGGCTCCCTTGGGATTCCGCTCGGCAGGAAGGCCGCGATAATGAGAAGTGGTTGCTGGTCAACATCCAGGATTCTTCAATCTTTGACTGCCAGGTGCTGAACCGGGACCTGTGGAAGGACCCTGGAGTGCGGGATACTGTCAAGGAACACTTTGTCTTCCTTCAATATTCCAAAGACGATCCACGGGCGGCACCTTATCTCCAGTATTATTTTCAAGCAAGCGACGTATCGGACAATTACCCTCACATCGCAATCGTCGATCCCCGGACGGGAGAACAGATGAAGGTCTGGTCCGGTCCTCCAGTAGTCCGCGCCGCCGAATTCTTGATGCAGCTTCACGAATTCTTGGACCGGTACAGTCTGAAACACAACGTGCGAAACCCCGTCGCTAAGCGCAAGCCGGAACAGAAGGAGAAGAGCATAGATGCCATGACTGAGGAAGAAATGATGGAGATGGCGATGAGGAACAGCCTCGGTGAACAGGCGTCCCAAGCCCCGAAATTGGAGGATCCGGACGAGCTTACCCGCAGTACTGGAGACGTCAAAGGTAAGGGGAAGGCGGTCGATGTGGAAGACGTCGACATGGATGAAGAGGTGCCAGGTGAGCATAGTGCATTCGCTGCCATCTCAGATAACCACCCCCACACCGAACCACCGGCCGATCCCGCAACGACGACGCGCATTCAGTTCCGCCATCCCTCCGGAAGAGTCATTCGCCGCTTCGCTCTGGCGGACCCGGTTCGGAGGATCTACGAGTGGCTCAAAGCTGAACCTCCGTTGGCAGACAAGCATGGGGTGGAGTTCGACCTCAATGCCATGGGTCGTAATCTGATCGATTCTTTGGACGCGAACATCGAAGAAGCCGGCTTGAAGAACGGAACGGTAATGATTGGTTATGTTGAGAATGAATGATCTCACGGTCGGTGAAAACTTCGATGCCTAGGATCTAGGATGGATCGCTGTGGTGTAGGGACAGCCCCGTTTTTCATGAGTGCATTTAAGCCTTCGAGCCTGCATGTTATGAGCTACGAAGACGGAAGGTTTTATCTAAAACGTACAGTACATTCGGAGCTATGTCATTGAAGGATGAATTGGGAGATGACCTCAATGGATGGTCAGGGCCCTATAGATCT